CTGCTGCAGGGTGCGGGGATATGAAGGGGATACCAGAGATCCGCTGGGAACACTGAGGAACCACAAGCTGTGCTGGCATCCGAGAGAGACTGAGGGAGGTGAGTCCAGCATCAGTTCGGAGGTTCTGGTTTGGGTGAGAAGATGAATGATAGCATGAATGAATGTTATTTCACTTGTTTCCCACATTTCATAACTTTTAGGGTTTCTCCTTCCTAGTCAGCATTTCCTGAATGCATTCTGGGCTTATCGATCTCATATATGAGGTTACTCCAGATGTGGTTTGACCAGTGGCCTAAAGAACCATCACACACTTATGAGCGCAGCCCATCAACCCTGAGGATCTTCTTGGAAGTTGCTGCTCAGCAATGACTCACCTGGAATACACTATGTCTATAACCCCTTAGGCTTTTTTTTACATGGGCTCTGGATCGTTTTTTAATGAGGTAGTGAATATTTTTACAAATGAGTAATTCTTTTAACCTATCTGAAATGCAGGCCTATAGCATTAAGCTTAGCATGTCTCCCCCATATCTGAAAATTGTACATCTCCAGTTCTTTGATTAAATTTCAGTTCAACAGGAGTATGATGTGAAGGTTCTAGAACAGATATTGCAAAACATTCATAAAGAACATTCTTACTGTTCACACACACAGAGGTGGACAAAAGTAGGTTAAATTATCAGCCATCATTACCTAAAAAATAAATCATTAGTAAGGACATCAAATAATGACAATAAAAAGTCCATAATAAATAAATAAATAGTATATGAATAAGCTGTGTTTCATGTAGTCACAACTGAAAACCTACTTTTGCACACCCCTGTGTGTACGCGTATGTGTGTGTATGCCCATATATGTATATTTATGATGTTTAAAGGTCTTTGGATAGGTCTCTAGTTGCAAATTGTTAGTGTAGAAAGTTCAAGTTTCCAGAAATATTTACTACAAGGTTACCACAGCACCCTCACAGCTCAGCAAGTCTGAAAGGTTTCACCGCGTGAACTTCTGATTGCCTGTTATCTGTCTTCACTGTGGGTAATTCAGATTAGTTACCGGCCCTTCACCTATGTGACCTTTGCCCTAGAATATGTCTCCTGGGCCTATGGTTTTGTACCAACTTCTGCTTTCTCTTTTCTGGAGTTGATATTTTGTTTATTTCCCAAATCTCACTAACATCTACAGATATGCCTCACAAAGGGGTGCTAATAGAAAGCAGGCATCCTAATAACCCTTTGCAGGTTTATATAAGGCATTGTAAACTCACTCTATCCCCTCTTCTCCTCTCCCTTTCAGTAAACTCCCACTTCAATTCATATCATCTGAGAGTAGCTTCTTTAGCAAGTCCTGCAGTGACCACCAAACCCTCAGCCTCTTTCCATTTTTCCTAGATCACCATTTATTTAACCGGACCAGCCAGGCAATGGGGCCACACAGTGTGCCACCCATACCCCATGACACCCCCTCTCTGAAGATCCATGGGAGAGCCTGACACAGATCTCAGGATGGGAAAGCCGTGCAACTTTCATCAGGTCCACCCACTGTACTTCTGTGTACTGAGAGCCTATTGTGGTCAAGTATTCTGGGAAGGATGGTTTCCACAGGAAAGGAGTTGGGCAACTAGAAGAAAGACAGACCCAAATTACCAGCATGGGGAGTTTAACAGCAAGGAATTACAGGATTCTTGGGGAGCAGAGAGCAGCACTCTCTCATCCAGCCTCAGAGACGGGGAAGCTTCCTAGAGGAAGAAACAGGTGAGCTCAGCAGGAAAGAAAGAATGAGAGAGCAGGAAAATGGCTGGCCCAAGAACGGTAGAAGTTTGGCTTCTTTATGACATAAAATGGGAGGGGCTGGTGGGAGCAGGGAAAGCTGGAAGAGCAGGGAAGGCATGGCACTTGGCTTTTGTCTAACGGCAATAGGAAGCCACTGACAAATTTCAACCCGAAGTGATATGATCAGACCGATCACATTTCCTTCTGTCTTTGATAACTTAGAAGCTCAGAACGGAATTAACAGCCCACTGCTAGCAACTCTACAGAGTTATCTGTGTGCGATTTGGAGATTAATTTACCTTTTTTATCATATCATCTCCTTACCCCAATGTCCTCATTTATTAAATTTTGTTGTACTCCATGCGTCTCTGCAAGCCCATAAAGGCAAAGAAATAAATCATGTAGTACAGTTGCTCTGGTAAAAAACTCCTCGAGGTAAACATTTGTATCCCCATTTTACAGACAATGTTGGAAAAATTCAGAAACTTGCCCACAGTCTTAGCATCACTTCATTCATCAGTGGGACTTGTTCAATATCTCACTTTTCCAACAGACGGTAAATACACAGAGGCAGAGACCATGTCTGCCGTGGTCGTGGGAGGGTGCCTACCTGAAGCACAGTGGCCCATGCACAGTGGCTCATACACAGGAGGGCCCAGCCAGGCTGCTGACCGACCAGCGGACCCTCCCCACTGGGGCTGCGGGACTCTGAGAACTAAGCGCCATCTGCTCCATCCCACTGTCCTCTGCCACCTGCTTTGGCATCTCATGGACAAAGCCTCTCCTCTGCCCTCTCCTCATACATGTTTTTAAAGAAGTTTCATCATTTAACTTTCAAGTTGATCAAGTAACTAAAACTTAACAGTTACCTTTAGAACTAGACTTTTAGGACTGGAAGAAACCTGAGCGATGATTCTGATCTGACCGACTCATTTTACTGTGAATTAACTTCAGCTCAGAGAGAGTGGGTGGCTCCCCAAGATCACACAGCTAGTTAACAACAAGTTTGAGATCAACAGTGGTTTTGAGGTACCTTAGAAATGTCCTTTGTGGTATTTATAGTGTCACTCTGTTCATTTAGAAACATAAAGAATAAATGTTTAATTTGCCTTGCTCATAAAACTAAGTTGTTTGCAGTATGTAAAAGGCCTGTAGGAAATTTATTTTAAAGAGATTTGAGACACACAATTCTGTGACTTATTCTAAGGCTACCATTCTGCCTTAGATACTCAAAAACTGAGTGAGAAAGCATCCTTACTTGCTCAAGGTCACAGCTGTCCTGAGCTTACTTTGGCTCACAACTAACTGGGCCATCTCATCCATTCATAAGGCTTCAACCAACTCTTAAAACCTGAAGAGTCCCAAATAGTCATAGACAGTAGTTAACACTCTTTGGGCACTTCTGTGCACCCGGCATTGTTCTAAGCACAACACATAGGTTATCTCATTTAACTCTTACCACCTGCACCACAATCCACACAATACAGAGGAGGAAACTAAGGCCCTGAGCAGTAAAACAACTTGTCCAAGGTCACAAGTAGTAGCACTGGCAGCTGGTCCCCTTTACAAGGGCAGGCCTGTCTGTACGCTCAGCTCTAGACCAGGGTCCTCTCTCCTGAGTTCCAAAGCCCAGCAAATGATGGTTTACTAGGCTCCCCATCAGGCTATCCCAGAACTAACTCAGAACAACTCAGCAACTTGCCTGCACCCATGCAGGCTGCCAGGCATAGCACCAGTAACTGCTGGCCCTCATGCTCTTGGTCTCCTTACTCACCACTGCTACCAATTTTATTCCTAGATATGTTTCCGGCCTGCTCCCTCCCCCCAGGGTCACCCCCACTGCACATGACTGAAGCTTTCCCAGTGGTCTCTGTGCCACACGGCCCTGGCTCCTCCCCAGCTCCCAACCCCCATCTGCTCTTCCCACATATGTCAGCACAGGACTCCTACAGGCGAAGCTGAGTACATTCTCCTGGATTCAGCTCTCCATAGCCCCTGAGAGACCACCATGTTCCCTGAGCCTACTCTGGGGCAATCAGCTTGTCTTCTGGGCCAGACTGTCTTGTCTCGAACTCTCTGCTTTTACACCCGCTCTTTTCTTGTAATCCCCTTGTCCTCTCCCCTCCAGCAGAGTTAGTCATTTCCTCCTTTGCCCCTAGGCTGCCCTTTACATTCATGCTCTCCTAGCACTTTTTCTAGATTGAACAGACTTCTTTCCTGTCTCCCCTCTGCAGGCAGCAGAAGCTGTATTAGGCACTCATAGCTCTGCTGTCGTTATACAGAGAAGATCTCTTTAAATGTGGGTGGACGGGTGGGTGTTGCACCCAGGACAACACTGACCAACTCCACCATCATCAAAGCTACGCCTCTCTGGCCTCCCCAGCGAGGACCTTGCCCAGCCCAGCACAGGAGTCCCTCCCCTCAGTGCTCTACAGCCTCACCCCAAGGGCTTCCCTTAACCAAACTGGAAAGGATGGAATCTGCTGAAGGGATAGTGGACAGAGGTCCCCAGGGTCCTACAGGGAGCTACAAATGTTTGTTTTCTGTGATGTGAAGCACTAGTAAATATTTGTGGAGCAAAGGCAGAAATGTACTACAAATATTTATTCTAATTGAGACACAGTTGATCTCTGTGAGATAAAGTTTATAAAGCTAAAACATCAGCACTTTCAGACATTTGAAGTTAGCAGGTTCCAGAGGGCTACGGTTTAACAAGATGAATTTGTGTTCCTTCTCGAGATGGCTGCCCCTTCTAAGCGAGAGAAGGAGTTGAGGGCTCAGGAGTGAGGACAGGTCTGCTTAGACCAGTGGTCCCTACACCCTACGAGACACTCACCACCCACGCCCACCTGTCAGCCCAAATCGAAGCCGCAACCTAAATCGTTTGCTAGTAACATGTTCTCTGACATGACCAAGTCTAACCACCAAGTTTGCCACTGTTAGTGGAGAGAGGAGTGTTGAGAGGAGGGGCCTGATGCCAGCTCACCCCAGAGAATCTGGCTTTGGATGATGAGACCTGCAAATGCTTCAGACAGTTCCCTGGGACCCTTTTCTTTTTTTCTTAAGTTGTCCTCATTGAATTTACCGTTAGGAGAGACATTTGAATTCAGCTCTAAAATCCTAGGGAAATGATTTCTGAAACACATGCAGTGGTCCTTCTGTCTACACAAATTTACCTCACATGTCCTGGAAAATAAACTTATCTAAGCTATGTATTACATGCTCCTGCAGGAACTTTAGAAAGCCCAGAAGAGCAGGCAGAGGAGACAATGCCGTGGGTAATCCCACCTTGCGAAAACGAGCACGTGTCACGCGAGTGTACCCACGGTTTCCACCAAGGTGTGTTTCAGCTTTCCCAACTGATACTAAGCTGGGAGACTCTTTTGGGTCTGGTTCTGTCTGGTTTTGCCCTCTCTGCAATATATTATGAATGATCTTTTGTTTGTTGTTTATTTGTTTGTTTGGTTTTACTATTGTTTAAAACACCAATAAACATTTTGTACACATATATTTATAACAAGTACATAGTTATTTTATTAAGAAAACAATAACAACAGGATTGCTGAACCAAACTGTCCGCACACATTTAAGGCTTTAGATACATAGTGCCAAAATGCCCTGCAGAATTACTGAAACCTATGAAGAACAAGTGTTCCTACCTACTCTCATCGACCTTTTCAGCATTTCTAATTTGAAGCACAGCCTAAAAAACAAACAAACCAATAAATAAAATACACCTTCAACTGACCTCTATTAACTCAAAGGTTTTATGCAGCTCCCTGAATCCTTGTTTAGTGAAAAGGAGAAAATTCAAAGTTGAGGCCTGCTTAAAACCTCAAATTAGGAGCCTACTCCTTCATGTCCTGTAGTGCCCTGCACCCTTTATTCCAACAGCCCATTCAAACTGTTAGAGCTTTGGAGTCTAGTGTTTTTTCCTGGGGACAAACCATTTCCTCCTACATCCCAAGGGTCAAAGTTATTCCTAAATTCCAGCACTTCCCTGCCTAAGTTCCGTGTGATGGTCTACAGCACCATATGCTCATTCCCAGGTGTGCTCCCACCCCTGTAACCACAGCACGTGAGGAGGCTGAGGAATAGTGGATAGAAGCTCCTAGCCAGGGGAAGAATTCAGTGGCTGCACTAGCCAGTGGCTGCACTAGCTTAGATGGGACAGGGTGGAATGCATGCTTGTTTCACTAACCTCTACTTGTCATTTAGCATTTCCTTTGGTAATAAATGCAGACAACAAAACACAGTAGTGTTGGCAGTTTCTATGACTTTATTACCACTAGAAATCATAGACATTTCAGATATATTACATATGTTCCAGATATTTCAAAATATCATTAAGCTCACCATCACTTCAAAATCACAGCAATGCATGAAACCTACTACTTGATCTTGTTAGTTAATATGAATAAATAAGCATTTTCTATTACCCTACCACTAATTAATTTTTTAAAATATTCTAATATCCATATTTCAATACAAATGTTTTCTTTATGATCTTACATATTTTATAATATTTAAAACCTTGTTCTAAAAAAATCTACTATTTGACAAAGACTTAAACACACACACACACACACACACACACACACACACACACACACATACACACCCCTTGTTTTGACAGTGGTTCACCAAACACCAAAAGGATTCAAGGCACAAAAAAGATGAAGAATCCTGCAGAAGAAAGTGACAATTTAAGACCTATGAGTAACCTGACTGGTGTAGCTCAGTGGATTGAGCATGGGCCTGTGAACCAAAGGGTTGCTGGTTCAATTCCCAATCAGGGCACATGCCTGGGTTGTGAGGCAGGTCCCCAGTAGGGGGAGTGCAAAAGGCAACCGCACACTGATGTTTCTCTCCCTCTCTGTGTCCCCCATCCCAAAATTACAAAATATTTTCCCGATTGGTGGCAAGATTGAGGTCCTTCCAAATCTTTTCTCATTGCTTCTTCTCATTCATTCAACAGACCTTTATTTAGCATCTGCAGAGTGCCAGACAAACTGTAAAAATGACACCAAGACAGCCTTGGTAAGAAAACTGCTGACCCCGACAGGTAAAAGGGTGAGGTGGGCAGACCTAGGGAGCCAGGGTTTAGAGAAACCACAGATTCCAGCTGCTGGTTGCTTTGAAATCCACAGACACTCCTTCCCAAGGTAGAAATGCCATCCGAATAATTCATGGTTCCCCCAGTATAGTTTTTCTGTCTCCAAGACTCCCATTAACTCTATCAAAATGCTATTTATTCCTCAGGGTCCTACCTTTGCTCCTCCTTCCCTGCAGGATGGAGTTATTCACTCTCTCCCTCAACACTCCTGCTCATAGATTTTTGGCAGTCACTTTCGATGTGTGTGTCTGGCAGTTTAGGTTCAGTGGCGCTGATCCTGGGGTCTGGCTTTGTGCTCTTGCCCCTCTAGTTCTCAGCTGAGACACGAATCACCTTTCTCTCCACTTCACTGGCTGATTTACACTGACAGCTTGCATGGGGCAAAGCCATAACCCACGCTGCATCAAGACCTCTCTTTGAAGTTTCTCACTATATTCCCCCCCCCAGTCAAAATGGGATCTCCAACAAGAGGCACTCACTCATTCTTTCAACCCAAGTGCTACCTCAGACAGTCTGCTTTCTGGCCTCAGACAGTCTACTCACTCCCTCTGTTGAGACTTCCTTTTCCATTTGGGCCACCTCATGTTTTAAGCCTCAGTCAACTTGCTTCAAGAGGAACTCATGGTTCACCTGCTCCAGCACGGCAGACAGAACTGCCCCTTTCCTCCTTGGTGTCCCACCGTACCCTGCCCACTTTGTTCCAGAGGCTGTCTATGTCCCCGTCTGGGCTAGATGTTCCCTAAATGCAGATACCAGATCAAGTCTGTGGCTCCAGCCACAAAGGCAATACTTAAAGGCAACAATACTAAAAGGCAATACTTATATTCTGAAAGAAGCAGTGAGTAGAAGAATGAATGAATGAATGCCCCTTCTCTCTCCTTCCCCCCACCTCCTCTTTCCCTTCCAATCACTTTTGGTTCCAGGGTTGTCTTAGACACTAACTCTGTGATCATGGGTAAGTGACTTCATGCTCCTGGGGACTTAGTGTCCTCTCTGTAAAAGGAGTCTGTGTAGGGACACCCCCACCCCCACTCCTGTGTAGTGTGTGACTATTGTGTAACTTTGTAGGTTTCAGTACTGCTGAGATAGAACCTCCTAAGGACACACTGTCTATCCCAAGCACCCACCCAGGACCAATGTCCTAACACTTATATCTAGTTGGTCCTCTGTTCCTCTCAACTCTACAGCTTTCATGTCTTTAAGCCCCAATCACCCCACCCCTTTCCCTTAAACCATGGCTCCAGCCCAGGCCTGTATTTTTTCACATGTGGACTATCTTAGTTACCGTCTGTGTGATCTCCAGTCTCATCTGAGTCCATCCTATCTTCTACATAGCCCCAGACCTTAGTCCTGGAGTCTGGTGATTTAGAGGCAGAGGCTTCTGTGGGGATCTGGATTTGCTATTAGAACCTAAAGCCCTTTACTTGAATCATTTTCTTCTACAAGTCTTTGTGATTCTCTCTTCAGTGGTTTTCTCAAACTTTCAGCCTTTGCCCTCTGAACTTTCTGCACAGATCCCCACTTCCCAGTTCACAGAGAACAAGTTTGGTCCATGGTGGGGGTGGGGGGGGATACGCAGTTTCCCAACACTTGCACTGATGTGTGCTTGCACACACCTCACTTCCTAGTCCTTTCTCTGAGAAGACCTGATTCCAACACCAGTGTTGTGGTTCCAATTTCTTCTTGCTTCCTCAGGAAGTGTCAGTTTTTATCTGTGATTGATAAGCATGTACAAATGTCTCCTATTTTAATTTTCCCCTTGATCTTCTGTTCAGTTGTTCCTCTGCCTCTCTCCTTTCTCTTCTGGACAAGTTGATTCCTTCTTATTAACTCCCCTCCAATGCCCTTCATCATTCAGGACCCCTCACAGCAAGTTTCTACTTCAGCCCATCTGATCACCTCACCTCCTTTATTTGTCAACCCACTCATCCTGGGATGCCCAGAGATTGTGCCAAGCTGCTACAGGGCCATGCCTGTGGATCACATTCCACTGCTCCCTGTTACTGCTGGGGAGGGGGAGAAAGGGAGCCTGGCTGTACTCAGGAAGAAAAGCATGGGCACTGGTGAGCATCAGAGTCTCTGCTGAACAGCCCAGATCTCTCCCACAATCCCAGAGCTGTTGGTCAGGCTGGCAAGAAGAAAGCTCCTCTGAGATGCCTACCTGAGAGACGCCTCACTCTACATACTCAAAACTAAGAGTGTTTAAGCTCCCAGACTGGTCTACCTTTTTATTTCTGTCCCAGTGATGGCACTATCACTCACTAATGGCTACAGTCCTCCCCACCCCACCCTGACACATTGCTTCCTGGTGTGCTTCCTTTCTTGTACCTGAATCTATTTCAATGGCTCAATAACAGGTTCCTCTGCACACAATCTCATTCCATGTTAATTCTTCATAAATGGACTTTATACAGTCTTCCTTCCCTACAACTTGTTAGCATGACTGCAAGGCCCTCCAGGCCTGAGCCCCCCTACCCACTCAGACCCTATCAGCCTAGCCGCAGCTGGAGGAAACCAGATTGGTTTCCATTCCTCTGTCAGTTCACAAGATGCCTCCAACACTCCTCCCCTTCCTCCCTCCTATTTCCCCCATCCCGTGGCACTCTCCATTTTTTCCTAGATGCCACAATTTAAGCATCACTTTCTCAGGGAGTCTTCTATGACCTCCCCAGACAGAGCTGACCACTACCTCCATGTAGATTATCGTTGGTCATTTTACAGAATGCTCAACCACAAGGACCAGTCAAGTACACCAAAGAATGTGTGCTTCATCCACAATATTAGTCCACAACACGCTAATGGACTCAATTTGAAACTATGGGAGGTGGACTGTAGTTCTTTCTTTATCTCACAACAGTCCTATCTCTCTTATGGAACTTTGAGAATTCAAAGCATGCAACAATAATTGTCTATGTGGGGGGGGGGGAATGTGTTGACAAAGAAGCAGAGAAAGTACCTGTATTAGTTAGGGATCCTCCAGCTTGCAAGCCACAGTGAACCTAACTTAAATCAGCTTCAAAGAAAGAACAATGCAGGGGGTGGGGGGTGTAGATGTGGTGTCAGACCAGATGATTGCAGGGATCAAACAAGTCACAAAGAGCAACATCTCTGACCAGCTTTCTTTATGCTGATTCCATCTTCTGGGTCCATGAAAGACTTCTGAGGAGCTCCAAGCTCTTTGCTCAGGGCTGCAGCACTACAAGGAGTTCATTTTCAAACTGAATCCAGCAGAGTGAATGAGGCTGGGACAAGATTCTGAGTCTTTTGTGGGCTAAAGTTAGCTCTGACTGGACCAGGTTGGGTCAGTTGGCCAGTAAAGGGCAGATGTCAAGCAGGACCATTTCTGTGGCCACATAGGGGGTTCCCAAAGAAAGGAGGGAGAATGAATTCTGCAGCCAACAGCAGATGATATTCCAACACCTCTTCTCAAACCAAAATTCGGAGGCCAAAGCCTTCTTTCTGAAGCCGTCTCTTCCCTCTTCCCTCAGTTACCCATCTTCCCTCTACTGTGTTCCAAAATATTGAGAGATAGTCTTATGCATTATAATAATTCTTAATATATCTGTGCCTCTGGACTGGGTCACCTCAAAAGCAAAAGTGCTTTCACTGCTGTACCCACATTACCTAGGGGGACTCACTAAGGTTGGCATATTATGGGTGCTTAATTAATATGGTGTGTTTTATGAATGAGTAGTAACATCCTTCATAGGAACACTTCATCCTTCAGTGCTGGCTTTCTGGGACAAGCGGCCATGCTATTGCAGTAGGAAAGGCAGCTGTCTCATCTATGCAGTAGATCTGTCTGGTGCCATGCAGGACAGGGAGAAGCGGGGTTACTTGCCTTTATGCTGTGTGTTCACCTACAGATTCTCTGACTCAAAAGGTACCTAAGCTTCCTTCCTGTTGTGGTGCAAAATTCCCTTACAAGAACACAGAAGTCCCTGGGCCCTACTAGCCAAGTAGCTTGACAGACTGGGAAGAGTTCAGGGAAGGGGACTGTCTATTGCTCTTTTCTAGCAGGGCGGGTTTTCCTGCCAGCCCTGACCTGCACTGCCACATTCACCCCTCTTTGGGACACACTGAGGAGTGGACAGAAGGCAAGCACTGGGCCAGCCATGGGCCTCAGACACGCTCCACTGGGTGGGGCTGCCTGGCTTCAGAAGTGGTTGAAATAGTGGCTAACAGCTCAGACCCTGGTGTCACACACCTGGTCTGCATCACATTTATCAGCTCTCTAACACTAACTTGGCAAGTTATTCTCTCTTCTTCTGTGATTAGGATAATACATTCTTCACAGGGCTGATGTAAGGAAAAATTAGATCATCATTTCAATTGATTAGCACATAGTAACTGCTCAGTAACGTACAATAACAATAACAAATGGGATCCACTTTCTTTCCCCAGGAGACTGCACATCTTCATGCTGTGACCCAGTCCAACCATTTCATAACTTGAAGGAAAAAGCATAACTCTGCTCATTAACAACAGCTTGTACCTATAAAGGAAAATAAAACCCAAGAGATAATAGAACAAGGTCTAGTTGTTTTCTTCTTTAAGGGTCCAAATTATGTGAATTTTAAAGATATTATTAAAATGAGTTGTCACAAAACTTTATGAATCAGGTGTTAAAGTCTGGCTTTGAGACACAGCCCCAAATACCTTCTTAAGTCAAGTATGTAACTGGATGAGTGACAAATGATGGCAATTGCCAGCGTGGGGCCATCACAGGAGTGGTGGGCTCTGGCAGGCTGGAGGCCACAGTGGACAACAGCTATGACTGAGCATCAGCTGATCATTAAAGAAGCTACTTTTACAAGTTCAGCAGGATACCTCTCGCTGCATAGCATTTTTTCCCAAACTCCTAGCAAGATGTTTATTCTTTATCACATGGGAAGGCAACTGGTTTTGACAAAAATGTAGAAAGTTATCTGTCTTGTGTGTTGTTTTACAGCTTCTTCCAAGTCAACCTCAAGATTTACCTCTTCTTGGAACCCCTCTGTGATGTATTCAACTCATCTAGCTCTACCTACTCCTCCTTGGTTCTCCATGTCCATTATTACACTGTAGCATTGCTCAGGTACCTCTGGACTGAGAAACAGACTGAGAAACATACGTCTGAGATGTAATTTAAATTTGTCCCTGCTCTCTTGTAACAGTTCTGAGTAGTGCTGGGTTGGGGAGTAAGGAGATGAGAAAGAGGCTCTGCTCCACTCAGTCATTCAGGGGCACAGGGTTGTAAGGCTGCACCATCTTCAACATGGGACTTACAAAGTGGTAGCAGAGTTGTCTCCAACTAGTTGGCTGATGGTGAGAGAGCATCAAGGATTGCCCATGGGAAGTTTTTATGAACCAGGAAGTGACAAAACAGCATGTGTGCCCACACTCCCTCCCTTGGCTTTAATCATATGGTCTCACTCAGCTGCAAGAGAGTCTGGGAACTGCTGTCTGTGCACCCAGGAAGGGGACACTTTTTTGGTAAACTCCTACCAGTCTCTGGCATGGCCCTCCCTTTGGATTCGAATATATATATATATATATATATATATATATATATATATATATATATATATATAAAATCTTCTTGCCCTCACAGAACACATTCATCCTCCTCACAGGCAGCAGCCAAAAGTACTATCTAGCTACTATATCCAACTCAAACTCCAAGATTGCTAGGTGAGGCTCCTAAGGTTCTAGAATTAAGACAAATTTATCTTCCAATGACAATCACAATGGTGGAGCCTTGGCATGACAACTGTGATAAAACTCCCATTTGGCAGCATGTGGGACACAGCAGGCCCCAGCCCTCAACAGTTATGAGATCTTGTTGGTCAGGCACCGAGGAGACCCCTTTGCCCTGGCACTGGGAGCTCCTTGATTACATTCTGATTCTACACTCTGGGAAGAAATCCCTGGCTCGTTATTCTCTAAAACACCAAGCCCCTAGTTCTGGGAGGTTTTCTTGTTCAGTCTCCTCCATGCCATGCACGAAGCGTGTGTGTGGGGAAATGCTTTCCTTGTGAGCCATACAGCTTGAGACACTTACTTCATCTAATTCCAGCTCTTGCAAGTTTGGGGGCCTATGGGTCCTTTGAAGGTTTCCACTTGTTGAAGTCTGACCCAGCTTATGTTTTCCTGGGCAATAAAAGTCCCTCACTTAGTAGTAGGCTTCTCCCCTATTTTTATCCCATTAATTCAATGTGTCAGAAGCAAGACCTACAATATTTCTCTGGACATGACTGTGGTTTTTTTTCATACTTTGTCTTGATTATTCCATCAGCTGAACAACAAGCATCTGGAATTCATCTGAAACCGAAAGCACATATGGTGAGTCCATACTTTTATCCCATCCTTACTGAAGGGTGAAGTACCTTGTCTAACTGAAAAGTCTAATTGGCATTTCCTCCCTATTTCAGCCTCCTAGGGATCTAGACACAGTGGGCATTTCCAATACCAGATAGCCCCACATTTATGCACTTTTATCCCCTTTCCTTTCTCCTGAGCTCAATTTTTTTTTTTCTTGGAAGTCTTTGCTAAACACAATAAAGAGCCAGAGGTCACTAACTTTCTGGCACCTCACAGCTACATGGGCACTCTCCTAAGTTACCACAGGCAAGAGTTTTAGAAAACGTTTCACCAGTTCACACTATGGGTCCCAATCTCTTGAGACCCATAGTTTCATTATCATCCCCCAACCCATACATAGTCAGTGCCACACATTTTAGTTTTTGACAGCAGCACCTGACTTCAGGGTACCCAATTTTCACTAGTTCAAGTTAGCCACTGAAGCAAGCAGATTCTAAAATGCCTAGTGGCTGACATGCTCTTGCTCATGTGACTGTGCTGGCTGGTTCCAAGTTGGTAAGGGAGGACACCCCACAGTCATTCAGGGACCCAGGCTGACAAAGGCTCTGTCACCTTCAAGGACACTCTTTCATCTCCATCAGGTCAGCGTTAGGGGAAGGAGCACAGGAGATCCTCAAAATGGTTTTCTTAGGGCCAAATTCGGAAGTGTTCAGTCACTTCAGCTCTCAATTCATTGGTTAAAAGTGGTGGTCACACCCAACTTCAAGGGGCTGGGAAATGTAATATAGCTGTGTGTCCTGCTAAACAAGGAAATGAGATCTAGGGCGACCAACTTGTACCACCAGTTTGCCTGGGACTTTCCTGATTTTAGCATGGGAAGTTCCACTTCCCAGGAGCACCCTCTGTCCTGGGCAAACCAGTGCTGTTGGTCATCATCACATCCACTCTCTCCTTAAGGAAACTAATTAAGTCTTTTTTTTTTCTTGGTCTGCTAGTCTGCACCACTATTAGGGCATGACTGGAATGTACTTGACACAATAGGGCAGATTACTTTAATTGAAATATGTTATTCCTAGAAAGTTGGGGCATGTGTGATAGAACCCTGTAGCACACACATCTGTCTTTGTCCCTAAATGAGTCAGCTATAAGACATAGTGAAGGAGTTTATATCCCCATGAGCAAATGCTATCAATTTAACAAGAATTCTTAAAAGAACTCCCAGAAAGATTTTTGCCAAAGGGTTCATCTGAGAAGGAATAATGAAGAAACTATTCAGTTATTATATCACATGAGGCAAATTTCACCAGAAAACAAAGTACCTCATTTATCTCAAAGGCAACTCCTTGGGCTGTCCCTGAGGGCAGAGACTGTGCCTTGCTCACTGCACTCTCTGATGCATGGAAGGTGCTCAGCAAATGGTCTCTGAATAAAGTAACACATAGCTTACCAGAGAGCCTATGCCCATGTTCAGTAATCAAAAAGTGGTTTTGTGCTGAAGGATGAACAGCCATTTAGGACAGGAGACTGGCTCTCAAGATAGGTATAGAAGGCAGGGAGTGGAAACTCAAAGCTTATGGGCCACAAAGCTAGTAGGTGTACTTTTGTTTGGTCTGCAGAGTGTCCAAAAATCAGAAATTTTCAGATAGAGCTTAGATCTTGAAAAATTGGAAGACCTGGGGACACAGTGCTTGAATCCCCACACAGCAACAATGAACAGAGCTAAGCAGCAACTGGTCCCCTGATCTGTGAGTGGAGCACACACTCTCCAGCTGCCACATTCATCACACTTCCTGAGGATCTACCCTCTCTCCACTCAAGAACTTCTGTCATGCCCCACAGACATGTTTCCAAAACACCTGGATTGAAGCACAGACTTATACTGCAATACACTGAACCTTCCAATAGTCATTGATATAGCCTGATTACTCATCCCGATGACTTTGGGCCTGCCTGGTGGCCATTTCATGACTGTTTTACACAGAGCTTTTCTCCATAAGAAATCAGTAATTTAAGATTATATAATATATATAATCTCTATATATAATTTGTAGATATTTATACATATATTATACATATATACACACACTCCACTTATAATTGTGCATATACCTCTACTAACATAATTTTCAAACATGAACAATTCCCAACGAACCTCTTCTTCAACCACATAAATGAAAAAGCTGCCTTTAGGTATTATTATTATTTAAGTTGAGTTTAAAGGAGAGGGAGGGGGGCAAGAGAAAGAGAAAGCAACATCAATTTGTTGTTCCACTTTTTTATGCATTGATTGGTTACTTGTTGTTATGTGCTTTGACCAGGGATTAAACCTGCAAACTTGGTGTGTCAGAATGACTCTCTACCCAACTACGCTACCCAGCCAGCACTAGATATTTAGACACAGAAGAAATGGTGTATTTCTGTCTATATTCTAAATGGCATTTTAAAAATGTTTTTGTAATAAAATTTTAACAACTACCACTACTGGCAAGTGCTAAATCAAAAGCTATTAAATAATAAAACTGCCACAGCTTTATTACTACAAAAAACACATAGTTAAATATATGAACAAACAAGAACAAGAGGACAAATAACTCAACAATAAAAGGCTAACGTTCCTTGACCACTTGCTCTGAACCCATCACTGTGTTTGCTGCTTTCCATCATTATCTTTACAAAAACGCTATGGAGAGAACATATCCCCATTTTAGCATGCAAGTAAAGTCACCTGCACAAGGTCAATGGCAGAGCTAAGGTTAAAATTAAATTAATTTTAGCCCAAAAAGTGAACAAAACCAAACCAGCATATCCCCCCCACCCCCCCAAAGAGTAAACTCATCGTACAAATCAGAGGATTGTAGCACTTTATGGCAGGACAGGATCTTCCTGGTCTGATCCAATTCCTCACTGTACAGATGAGAAGGGGTTCCATTCCTTGTCCCAAGGCCACCCTGCTAGTGACTGCAGGGTCAGGGCTGGCCCTCAGTGCTGTGTCCTCCCCACGCCTGTGCAGGAAGCTTCCTGCACAACCTGCTTCCGTGTTCCGCCGGTGGGCACATTTGTCCACTTCCAGACACTTTATCTGGAGGGAACTTCATTTTCTCTGCCTCTGTTTCTAATCTTTAATGCCATTTTCGCTGTGAAAAAATAGTTACATTGTCAGGCCCCTGGTAGCTCCAACTACTTATTTTATATAAAAGAAAGGCAGTGTACTCTCTATTAAAAATAATTTTCATTTATAATTTTAGTTATAATTAACTTCTATACATTTCTTATGTAAATTTAAAATTGATTTTGGCATTACATATTCATCACATAATGAAAAATGAATTTCTGCTTTATAAGTATGCCAAAGAGCACAGAGTTACCAAGCTATGAACATTGTTAATTTGAAACAAAAAGCAGATATGCATTAAAATCATGCAAAACTCCTGTTTCTCCTTCACTGCTCAGTGCTCCCTCCTGCTGCAGCTGCTGACGTCATGAACACCCAGCACTGGCACAACATTCCATTCCCGTGAAGCCTTCCCTGCTCCACTGAACGTTAAGTATGATGGAGTCAATTATACAATAACTCTCAGGCCAACAAAGGTCTAATCGTGTCTGTAAACAAGTAGTGAAATACCTTTTAAAATTACCTTAAACATCGTGAAATATAAGTCAACACTTAAAGCAACAGTGTGCTTCAAGATGCACACCAGTGTGCCACAGGAATTTTTCAAACATGCAGTACTTGACTCTTTAGTCAGGGGCACTGACCTCTTTTCCCTTAGGTCAGGGGTGTCAAACTCATTTTCAATGGGGGCCACATCAGCTTTGCAGTTGCCTTCAAAGGGCTGAATGTAGAGCTCCTTGCCCCTAGTTAAGTTACACTTACAGTCCTAAAATTGCATTCGGCCCTTTGAAGGCAACCGTGAGGCTGATGTGACCCCCACTGAAAATGAGTTTGAACTCCTGCCTTAGACTGTCAAATTTAAAAAATGACAACAGCCAAAACAATAGCTGACCAGTGTGAGTGAATCAAACTTACACCAATATTTTGTTGGATTGGCAAAAAATATAGTTTGTTGTGCTGTAGAATTTTAGTAATTAGTTTACGGGTGCCACGAGATGAAAAAGGTTGCAAATCACCGACTTAAAGCATGTTTAATGATTAAATGAACATGTGTCAAAAAACACCTTTTGATTTAAACTTCATTCTTATTTCACAATATTCAGCTCCCAAAACATCACAGGAGTGCCACATTTTAAATAAAAGGCTCCAAATTCCATTAAATAGCTTAGAAGAAAGTTCTCTATTATCTTAATAATACACTGACATAAAATTTCTCAAAGTTTCCACAGTTACCACCTTTGGCATTGAATATCTTCACTGAAAACAGAAAAGATGAAATGGCTGGAGATTTCCACTCACTATAGTTTTCTTTTTAAAAGAAATACAATTACAACATAAGTATCCCTTTAAGTCAAAATTATACAACCTTTAAACTACTATGACAAAGATTTGTTTTTAAGTCCCCTCCAATTTCCCCATATCAAGTTTATGCCAACTGACACCACCAGCCTATGGTGGTCAGCAGTAACTGCTTTGCCATGAGCTGTGTCTTCACACCAGTCACTCAGCTTTATGACACACGCACAAAATCCATTTCTTGTCAGGAAGTTCTGATGTTTCATTTACCCATCCATGTCCCCAACAGCTATACATTAGAGAAATAAAGGATTCAGAAAAGTTAAGTCCTTCTTCTGCAAGGCCTTAAATAAGCCTTAGAACTCAGCAATGCCCTTATTCCCACTGAGTGGAGGGGGCATGGGAAAAGGCCACTGTTGAAGTCCTGGGGCAGATCCCAGACCTGATAAGAGCATCCTGTTTAATGTCACAGGAGCTGGCACTGCTCCTAGAAGAGTGGGACCCCTCAGGCTCACTTACCAGGTGCCTATTTGCTTTAAAATTCCATCACATTTTAAATTTCAACCTATTTTAGTCTTAAGGAATCAACTAGAAGAGATACCCTTGTTCTCCAGACCCACCTCGAATTCAGAGGAAACCCCTGGAATCACCTTGTCTCCTGCTTAGACAGCCCCAGGAGCTGGAGCCTCAATCTACACTGGAAAGACATCCCAATCCAGGGTATTTTAAAAGTGAAAACGAGCTTCTCTAATGTCCATATTTTTATCCTAAATGTGCTTAGTGGAATTACATACAGAATAAGTCTCATTCCCCTCTCAGCTGGTAAACAATGGAAAATTAAGGCTTTCATGGACTCCTAGAAATTTAAAGCCATGGGGGAACCTAAAGATGATCTCTTTCAGTGCCCCACACATCAGCTCTGAGAGGTGAAGCCTCTTGTCCTGGTAACCCTAGTCTGAAGAACTAATCTCTTATCTCCTTCACTATGTCTCTCTACACTTACTGGCTGAAATAATGCAATGTCTATTTCCTTTCACCTCCATAGTCAAACCACAAGGACCCTTACTTTGCCCAACCCTTATACCCTTCTTCAAGATTTCGCTAGTCCAATAGTTGTAACTTTACCTAGAAATAGTTGTGGAAATAACTGCAATTATGTTAACACTGTAATATGAAAACACTTGTTTATCAACATTTTATATGCTTTATTGAAAGTTGACAAGTGCAACAGTTAAATACACCTTACAACTGTGTAGAGAACATGCACAGAAACATATGCGTATCACTACTATACAGTAATATGCAGAAAACCCTACTGGGAAATTCATCTCATTAGCTAGAACTGATCATTTTTCAAAGTATTCAACCAGCTCAATCAAAAGACTTCAGTGAACAGGGATATACTTCAAAATATTCAGCAGCTAGATTTCAGATTACACAAAGTGACTGTCAAATTCTTAAAATTTCTTTAGGTGTGGTTTTCTTCACATAGTATTGTTTCATGTAGATCTCTCTATAAAGACAATCCACACCTCTTCAGACAGACAATGAAACATCTAAATTTCAATCTGTACAACCTAAGTAGTAGTTACAGTCCTCTACTGTACAAAATAGTTACACTACATACACAAATATATAATAAGCAAAACATCCTTCATGGTAAGGTGGCCTAGGTCCCAGCTAGCTGTCACCTTTCAGTCACTCTTAGTAGTTTTGTGTCATCCACTGTTTCAGAAAGAGGCACACAGTACTATTGTTTTTTATGGATTTTGGTGACAGTCATCAATTTGTACAATGAACTGTTTCCCCTCATTTTAGGCAAGACTACGCACCAGTCTTCCCTTTTACCTCCCTCTCAAGTTCCTCATGGGTAGAAGAGGAGAGAGGACAGTCCAGTGGAGCTCCACTGCTCCATAACCCATGTTGTACACTACATGCAAGCAGGAGACAACACTTGGAAGGAAGGATGGGGAGCAGGGAAAGGATGGAAAGGCACACAGCTCCTCAGCATCAATTAAACCATTTCTCAAATATCTGCCAAGCTGCATGAGGTCCCAGTATATCCATGCTAATTCTCTATTGACCTTTAACTCACCCAACTAAGAAATTTCTTCAAGCCAAAAGCATATGGGTGTTTAATACTGGAAGAAAGAGATAATGGCATATGTCAGTCTCACGTCTCTTTTGCAGCGAGCAATGAAATGGGTGACTGTGGAGGCAGATTCCCCCTAGTACATCATCTCCAGTTTGTTGAGTTCAGACAGCAGCAGCCAGTTCTGCAGGGGCATAGAAGGCTATGCAGTTGGTCCTGAGCCCTGGGACGCTGGCTGGGCTGGGGGCTGTGTGGTCCCCTGTGACTGTGTGGTAGCAGGGGGGGAACCAGTTTGCAGCTGGGCCTGAAACTGGGCAAGCTGCTCAGGACTGGCCAGTGTCTTCAGCAGATTGTTTTCCTGCTCCAGCTGGGAATTTTTCTCTATTAGTTCTTTGATTTGCTCTTTGAGGACCTCCACTTCCTCTCTAACTGCATACATCAAATGACTTTTCACCAGATCCTGAAAGGGAGAGGGGAAAAAAGGGTTTAACTTACTATGTGCTATTTCCCAGACTCCTGTTTCTAAAGTATTATTTTACCTGGCTCTCCCTCATCATTTAAATATCTTGCTTTTATTGTTCATTTAGCGGCACCAGGGGAAATCTGAATATAATCACGACTGTACAATACTCAAGTTTAATGTATAAGTGATCAACTTTTTAAAAGCCTATGCTTTGCAGCAGTTAGCCAGCAGTGGGAACAGTCAGGTTTCTATCTGAGATGGCAACATGCCTGAGTCGCCAAGCAGGAGCCCGGCTGCAGGGATGTCCAGACCCGCAGCAACCGTAGCCACTTCCCTGCCCCCAAGTCTCTCATGCCTCCGCCCTCCTGCTGCCGCCAGACCGCCTCCTTCAGCACCGGCTGCAGCCAGTTCCAACGGAGCATGTTGCCGCATTTTCCTCCCTCCACCCTTAACCCCCCTCCTTTCGAGATTATACTGACATCACAGAAACCTGGGCAGACGTTGCAACCAATGAGAGCTCGATTTATTTATAGCTCCGAATTAAAGGTTCGGAGTTTGCCTAGCAACAGTGGGAAGAGAATCCCGTGAGAAGAGCCACAGGCGCTGCTCCAATAACAAAGAACAGCCAAGGCGGAAATAAAAAATAGGAGAAATCCAGGCGCAGGCTGGGAAGACAAAACTTTTTTTCAGATTTGTCTTCATTGTGCAGTAGCCTACATCACTAGGATCCATCTGTGTCCGTACTAGATGGCTCCTTTCCCAGTTCCCCACTTCTGCTCCCCTGACCCAACCCCGGGTTCCCTAAGTAAACCTTAGGCTTCCTAGTAAAGCCTCATCCTTAGAGATGTGCCCATCACCTGAGGACACGCAGGGCTGGCAAGTCCCTAGCACTTCTCCAGCAAAAAGGGACTCTGCACAAATCCCGAGGTTGTGAGAGATCGGTCTTGTAAAGAACACTGAACATCCTCGGCGCCCCTTCTCTACAGCAGCCTCAGTGAGTGGCTTCACGCTGACAGAATGGGGGCAGTGCAGGCATTTCTAATGTATGCAGAGCCATCACCATCCTAACTATGGATGCACGAGTTCTATCCCAAGACAGCTCGCTTTTTGTACTGTGCCCATATTTAGTACAAATGATTTTTAATCAGTACATACCATAGCTTGCTCGATTTTGTTGTCAATAGCTACGACACTTGCACCAGAGGAGCTGGAAAAAAGGGGGAAAATTGATAAATGGAATTTATCTTAAACGTCCAATACACACACACGAAAAGGATTTTCCAATTTGCGATGTTTCTAGCATCATTTTTGAAATATTCTTTATGTAATATATCACCCTCCATAAAACATAAGCCGCTCTCTTACTAATGAATATCCAGACATTTCCCTATTCTAGTGAGCCACAAAGGGCCAAATTACATAATGTGCTAAAAGCCTGTTTTGTGGCCAGACTGGCGACGAGAAAGCTATTCTGAACACTGCAAAAAGCAACATCCATATCACTATACTCTCTCAGTAATGCACAAAGGAATTCGCCTGGCTATCTTTCACCTGCATTATTACAAGTACCTAAACGAGTAAATTTAAAGACACTATCCCGGCCGACATTTACCTATTGTCAAGTCTCACAGAGGCGTTTTCAGTCCCCAGCAAGGATGACAAGAAAGAAATTGAAAAATGTCTCAGTTGGTAAACTCCTAGATCCATCGCCACTGGTCTACACCATTGGGATTTCATGCAATTGCAGCCAAAAACACCCTCGCAGAAAAAAAAAATTTAAAAAGGAATACCAGCAGCCTTATTTGAGCTAGATAAAAATCTCCTAGCTTTCTGCAGCCCAGGGAGAAATAGAATACAGCTGCCCTAATTTAAGAGACCCGACTTCTGGGTTTGGCAATCCCAGAAAGACAGACACCGATCAAAAACGGTGCAGAGAAGCTTCACAAGCCGGCTGCCGGGCTCCACTAGGATCTAGTGGGACTCCGGTCACGGAGCAAAATATATTCAGGGAAGAGCCGCGGCAATTGGACAACACGCTATTGGAGCCGCCCCTTCTCCCTTCCCCGCCCTCCTCCGGCTTCGCTGCCTTCCCCCCACCCCCCAACCCCCCACACCATTCCCCCGCCCCCAGCCTCCCGATTCGGCTCGTCGGGTGGGCTGGCTAAGGCCGCATTCGCAGGGGCTGGGTGCTAGGCCTCTGAGAACTCCACAGCCTCAAAAAGCCGGACCAATGCTTCTGCAAAAAACGTGTAGGATCCCGGAAAAATACGAGTGGGACCCCGCACGTGCTTACGTTTATGGGAGTCGGACCCCAGTCCACCGAGCTGCTGGTCCCCGCGGCTGCAGAACGACGAAAGCTTCCGATTTGCAACAAGAACCGCCTGAGCTACTGGGCATGCCCAGTCCCAACGCTAAGACTTGCAGGAGCTGTGTCTCGATTTCAATTTTCTAGCTCTTACAGGAAGCAGTAAAGGGAGGATTTTATAGGCGGTTTCACTGATAAAGGTAATAAGCGTACTGTAATAATACTTCTTTTTAAAAGCCAGTGAATTATAGAGTGAAAAAAATCACACTTGCTTTTTAAGAAATACTACCTCTCCGTGAATTTATTAATTTCGGGTAAAAACAAAATGAAAAGCGTTAAATAGTCTGCTAGGCGTATATATATAGAAGTAAACGGGAATCTACCAGATAAAATAAAGTGGTTCCTCCCAAAATATCCCTAGAGCCATAACCTTTAAAATCTCATTTCTTCTTCCACTTATTAACTAGAAAAGTCGACCCACAGGTTGAATCATCCATAGATCTGTTTTCAGTAAGTCCCTAAAGTGGCTGATTCCTATAAACTCAATTCTATAGAGGGGCTGACATACATATTTCACTGTTTGGCAGCACTGATCAAAATAATTCCCTTCTCCAAACCCAAATCAAGAGATTTGTGTGTAACATAGCTTAACCCGTTATACATTCCCTCTTATTATTTTGAAATATGCAGCGAGATGACAATTGGATACACTAAAAATCTAGGGTCTTAAATTTGCTTATAAATTATAAAATTTGTAATTCAATAGATTACAAGAAGGCAAATTTAACCTCTACAATACTGCCCTCTAATGGCAAAACACTATAAAACCAGAAACGACCACTAGTTTTCTAATCCATAGGCAGATTACATAATGATAAATAATTCCAACATAAAATTTGACCATAGAATATACATATATGTATATATATTCTATTTACAAGCACACACACAGACATATACAGAGAGTATTGTCTTTTCTCTCTCAAACAAACATTCTCCGCGAAGCAGTATCCTTTTCATTTAGGAAATTTTTATTGCCACCAGAGCCTTTCAGACGTTCTTTTAAGTTGACCCAATGCTGGGAAGGAGCATTTGGTTTTAAAAACTGTACAGAACGATTAGGAACCAAATTTGGAGAATGTGGCAAATGATGGAAAGGGCAATTCTCTTCTGGGTTAAAACCAAAATGTGACTGACTATAAAGCAATAACATTTTTATTGTAAGGTTCATATTATTCTCCCGACTTTAAAGCTTTGTTTTTGAAAAACAAGTAACAGTTGATAGGATAGTTATCATTTATGAAAATCCATACATATATGAATATGAATATCTCGGTAGAAATTTACTCAAGGAAGGTACCCATTTTTAGTAAAAAGAAACAGCGGAGCAGGCATATGGTCCCTATGTCTATGAATGCTGGACAGAATTATTACTTACTACATAATAGTTTCTATGTTTAAAAGTTAGTTATCACTAACACTATCTGTAATTAAACCTATTTACGTATTTGAACTGACCAGGAAAAAAATTAAGGCATTTAAGCTATAAAAAAGAGCTGAAAAATATAAAACTTTAAGGTCATATAAATAAATAAATTTAAAATTCCCAGCTGAAGTTTAAATTACTGAATTAACTGGATTTTATTTATTCATGATGTTCTTCAACATAAACAGAAAGAAAACTTGGTTTCATTTTCATTTCATTAATTTTGGCTGATCATCCATTGTATTAAGCTACAGAAGCCAAAATACAAGCAACAACAGTCTGTTTAATCCATGTACCTATAAGAGGAACATTATAGTCATCTCTAATCTTTTGCTATTTTAAATAAAATTTTAAGTGTCATTGTACATAAGTCCTTGAACATTGGTGTATATATATTTCCAGAATATTTTCAAGCCAAAAGATATACAACAGAAAAGATCAAAAATATTTATTTTCATATATTTCAAATCAATGTGCTAATTTCCTTTAAAAATAGATTTTTTAATAAAAACTAAAAAGATAATTTTAAAAAGAAGGCAAAGGGATTGGAGGAAAGCTCCATAGCAGAAAACCCATGGGTCAGAAATTTCTGAAGCACGGATGGCTAGAATTAACTCTCAAAGATTCTTCTCTTTGAAAGACAAAATATCTGGGTCTAGTGCCTATCCAGAGCTCAACAAAAGACCAGCCGAGCGAACAGGGAGATCACTACTCCGCTTCTAGGAGAGAGTCCTAAGGGCATGAATGATAATAATGATCTTCAGCCACTGGGCAGAGATCAGGTCTCACTTCAGTGGGGAATCTGGAGCACAGGAAGCAGCCTGAACATTGGAGATTGGGTGTTTTGTTGTATTTGTTTTTCTGTTCTGTTTTGCCTAAAAGCCTCTTTACCTGGATTCCAGTTCAGTCACTTCTGCATATTACCAGCATTCTAGGATATGAGAAGAGGAGCAAGGGCAGGGCCTCTGTTTCTAATTCAGTAACATGTGTTTTTCAAGTTTGATCTGACATGACCAATACAGTAACAGCTGGGGAATCCATCACTCAAATAGGATCATCTCTGTCTCCTGTCCAAACTCTTTACAAATCTGAAGTGACTGTGAGGGAAAAGGCTAAAGCATACTGCCCTGCATCTAACAAATCACTGTTGTCCAGGGACTGCATGTCACTTCTCTTTCCTGGTTTACTCTCACTAGGCACTAGGAATAGGGTTACCAGGTCTAGCAAGTGAATCCATAGGATTCTTAGTTAAAGGTGACTTACAAATAAACAAGTAATGTTTTAGTGTTGGGTCCCACATACTGTCAGAACAAGAAGCAATTCAAAAGAAATCAAAACAAGAAAATCCAACTTTATTTTAAATTTCCTTGATTTCTCTAGAAAAGTTGGAAGATAAAGTTGACAAAAATCTTCTAAAAAGTAGAACAAAAGAAAAAGAAATGGAATTGAGAGATAAGAGGATATGGGATGGATCTAGGAGATCCAACATCAAAATAGAATGAACTCCAAAGACACAGAGCAAAGGGAAAGAAATTATTTAAAAAATTAAAAATTTTCCGGAACTGAAGGGCACAAGTCACCAGATTAAATATAACATGACAACCACAAAAAAATGGAAAAAAGCCCTACACCTAAGCACATTATCTTGAAACTAAAGATCACTCAGAGAAAATCCTAAAAGCTTCTAAACAGGAAAAAAAAAAACCAAAAAAAAAAACAGTATCAAAATTGTTGTGCTGGCTGCCAGAGAAGAATGGTGAAAATGTCCTTAAAATTCTGGAATTAATTAAAAGATTTTTCATTTGGCCAAAAATCATCTAAGTGTAAATGTAGAATAAAAATATTTCCAGATATTTCAGAGACTAAGACAGAGAAACAAACCTAGAAAAAGGGTTTAACAAGATGAATTCTAGAGATCTTCTATACAACCTTGTACCTATAGTCAACAATACTGTGTTGTACATTTAAAACTTTGTGAAGACCATGAATCTCAGGTTAAGTGTACTTCCCCATATTTTTTTTAAAAAGCTGTCTTTAAATAAGAAACGTTATATTCCAAAAGGGGAGACAGACAAACATGGCACATGTGAACTGGGGACTCAAACATTGGAGAGAAGGTAGGGAATCAACAACAGGATGATGGGGAAGGAAATCTCAGGGCAGTAACTGCTAAGCAAGCCTAAGCAGCACCCAGTCTGTAATGGGGCATAGGAAGATGGAAGCTTTTGGGAGGGAGAGAGAGCTTCAGTGGTAATAAACAGATGATTTAAAACATGTGAGCAACTGAAGGAGGTCGGTGAACTACAGAATGGTATGTGACAAATCTAATGGAGCAATTAGTTAACTTTGAAGACAATTTTACAGAAAACAAAAGCAAGAAAAATACTATGCTTATCAATAAAATTTATGTAATTGT